CCTGATCTTTTTGTTTGTCAAGATTAGAACCTCTACCATTTGAGCCACAGCTCCACTTCTGGATCTTTTTAGTGGTTAATTAGTGATTAGAGTCTTGTGGACTTTCTCCTGGATTTTTCTTCCCAGGCTGGCTTCAAACTATGATCCTCAGAGCTCTTTCTACTGTGTAGCTGGAAATACAGGTATAGGACTACAGCACCCAGCTAACTTTATTCCTTTTTAATGTAATTTTAAAAAATTTTACTTTAGATATTTAAAAAGATATAAGGTTATAACCACTCAAGAATCAATTAATTAATCAATATGATTAGAGTTTTCTACATGAGAAGGGTTAACTAGAATCATATTTTCGGATCTCAAACTCCTGAACTGTCCATTTGTTTAGGTGTAGAAGAAGAATTGATGTAATGGTAAAGGCAATTATCTACTTCTAAGAATCATGAAAATGAACATATTCACACACTCTGGAAAGCAGGATGGAGATTCCTCAAGAGACTTAACAGAGCTTCCCTATGACATAGCAATTCCATTCCTGAGAATTTATCAAATGGACCACAAAGAAGGCCACACAAATGCTATCATCACAACCATGTTCATTGCAGTATTGTTTACTATAGCCATCATATTGAATCCAGATGCCCTCAGTGTACTAATGGATCCAGAAAATGTAGTATACATACAGAATGGAGTTCTCCTCATCCATCAGAAAGAATGATATTGTACCATTTATAAGGAAATGGAAAGACTTGGGAAAAATATATTAAGTGAAATAAGCCAGACCCAAAGAAACAAAGGTTTCATGGTTCCCTTCATTTGTGATAACTAGAATTGGCCTATAAATCTACAATGTTAATGAAAAAAGAAAATACACTGGGATATAAATTATAGAGGTCTCTAGGCATTCACAAAAAGTGAGACCAAAGGAGTATATTCTTTAGAGAGGAACACAAAGATGCAATAGCTGTGTGCATCTGACTGTATAAAATAATATTTATAGAAATGAACTCCAGGAAATGGAAACAAAAGTTTTTTTTTCTTTGTTGCTGTTTTTGTTTTCTTCTCCTTTTGGCTATTTGTTCATTGATCTGTCTTTGGGAGGGTAGGGGAAGCAGAGAAATGGTAAGACAAATGCTGAAAAGTTGCAGCTGTGATACTCAGTAGACACTATGTTGAAAATGAACTATACAACTTGTGGTTGGGAACAGGAGGGAAAAACCTGGAGAGAAAGAGAAGGGGTGACATTGTTGATAAGAAATGTACTCCTTATCTGACTTATATAACTGTAAGCCCACTGTACATTACCTTTATAATAACAATAACAATGTATAAAAATAGCATAAATGAATACAATATAATTTAAAAATCATGAAAACATTTTGAAGTTATAAACTACATTTTACAGAATAATATAATTAATTACCACAAATATTATAAGATTGGAAAAGCATAATTTTGGTAATAATAATAATATTCTTTGGTTCACCAGGTTGCCTTCATGATTCAAGCCCTTTCATCATTTAGTCCACTCAGTCCAAAATCCCTGACTAGTAATGGTGATGACAGTAACAGAGACAGCAATATTCATAACAAAATATTTTCTGTCTACCATGCTCTGTTCTGTTTGGCTATATTAACAATTTAACCCTCAGAACAATCATATAGAAGCTGTTAAAGAGGCAACATGATTAACCCATGTTGCAAATAAGAAAAGTAAGGCATGGAGCAAATGTGTCATTTTCCTCTTGTTATGGGTTATTAATCTGAAGAAATCTTATCTGAAGATTGGAACTAGGATATAAGCCCAGGCAGACATGCATTGCAGGTAAAACTCTGAGCATTGAACAGTAATTACAGATAGCAGCTCTTCTCCTACAGATAGGGCACAGTATTCCTTTTAGGCACTACCTCTAAGGTTTACATTTCAAAGCCAATGAGCCAATCATTGGACTGTTTTTTCAAAGTTTGGAAAGTGCATCAACTTACAACTTTTTAAGTCCTCCATAATCAGATAAGTAATAAAAATATATAAGGCTCAGCTGTCTTTTCCAACATCCATAACTCTCTGTACATGGTTTGTGACTTTTCTTATCCCTCCCCTCATCTTTTGACTACTGTGTTTTTATCAGAACCCACTGGGCTCAGAATGGAAGGACAAGTAGGGATGCAACACTGAGTGATTAAGAAACAGAACACAAGAGTGTGTGGACCTTATGCCTGGAGAAAACTGTCTGGGTGGTCTTTTTCCTCCTATAAAAATGTATAACTCTTGTGTCTCTTTCAGAATAGAGATTATTTTTTTCTTCAGGACATTAGATGGTGTATTTACAGAAAGTTCTTCCAGAAAGTAACAAAGCATCAGGAGAACATAAGTATCTCTGATGCTTTTCTCAGGGTTGAGTAGATAGTGAGAATGAAGGGAAATGAAAAACCCCAAGATGACAGGGGGTGGTGGCGAGAAGTGGATGGACGTGATTCAGGACCTTTGTTTTTTATCATGAAAGTATCCTCCTACAGCAATAGGCTGCATTTTATTTGTATTTCAACCACATTTACCCTTTGAATTCTTGTGAAAACATTATTCATTTGCAGATCCAATTCTGAGATCTCTTTCTTTTTTGTTTTTGTAAATGCTGAACAAGTGAAATGTGTGGTTTCAGTGTCATTTCTGAAAACTCAGCATTTTGTGAGGGGAAAACATCTTACTGACAAACAAACAGCTCACAAAGTGAAGAGAAAGTAAAATCCTTTATTTTAGTTCTCTAAATAAAAGTTCAGACATGAAGGAAAAAAATCACCATAAGTCCACAAGTAAGCAATTCAAAACAAGTAACCATGTATTCTAGGCTAGATTAATATTAATGCTTAAATACAAGCAATCCAGTTGAGAAATGTTTTCATTTCCTTTATGAATAACATCATCTCTTATTTCTAAGTCTGTAGACCACCATTTTTTTCCTGCCAGAATTCTCTCAAAGATGGAAATGTTCTGAGATGTGCTACTATCTCTTCCTCAAGCAAACTACTCTGTGCATATATTTAGCAGTACTGGGGTTTGAACTCTGGCCCTTTTCCTTGATAGCCAAGCATTCTTTCACTTGAGCTATGCCTCCAGCTCTTAGCAAACTACTCTTTGATGAAACATTCCACAATGGAGAGCTTGTTTCTACAAATTAGCTAAGTACTACTGGTACATTAGAAAGATTATTATATCCACCCATGGCTTTTCCTACAGTTCTGGAAATAAGAGAATTCCAGACCAGGAGCATACCTGGTAATCTAGTAGCATATTTAAATCTAATGACTACTTAACACTCAAACTCCCCAAGTTATATATGAAGGAGGAGCACAAAAATTAAAGAAACCTACTCACAACTAAGCATAGATTTATTTGTACTTCATTGCTTCGACTTTAACCTCTAACGAAGCAATGACAAAGGCAATAAACTTATCTAAAAGCGATCAGCAAGAACAAGGCAGTAAAGCAACATTGGCCTCATAAACAAGTAGGCCCACAAGTAAACTAGCTATGTTTTCTTTTTTTGTGGGTCATGGGGCTTGAACTTACAGCCTGGGTGCTGTCCTTGAGCTCTTTTGCTCAAGGTTAGCACTCTGCCACTTTAAGCCACAGCGCCACTTCCAGTTTTTTGGTGGTAATTGGAGATAAAAGTCTCATGGGACTTTGCTGCCTGGGCTGGCTTCAAACCACTGATCCTCAGATCTCAATCTCTTGAGTAGCTAGGGTTATAGGTGTGAGCTACTGACCTGGCTTACATTTTTCTTTCTCTGCAAAACACTAACTAGCAAGTCTGATGAACACCCCTATCTTTCTATGTTTCTCATTTTCAGTCTGTTTACTTTCCAAAATTAGCCATCACTAGCAATGTGCTCCTTATCTTTCAGCTGAGCCACTCAGAAATGTCAGTCAGTTGTATAAACAGACCAAAGTAATCAACTAAGTCTTTTCCTTCTTTTATTTGGTTTCAGCCATTTCCCTAAACTTCCTTGTCATATACAGCAAAGTAATTGAGGGTGTAACATTTTTTCTCAGAGTTTGAAGTATTAGTAAGGAAATGTAGTAAAAATAAACCAATAGCTAGATGTTCAGGGAAACTGAGGCACATTTACCCTCACTATAGCAAGAGATCCCTCTATTTATGCAATCTCTTCACTCTTTCATGCTTCACTCTTTCATGCTTCAAAGAAAAATCACACACTTCACTTCAGAAACACAACTTTGAAAGTTACGCACTAACTTGAATCTGCACCTGTACTCTTGCCCTGACACTTTATACAGCAGTCGCCTGCTTGTATGTCTGGATCCTTGGCTTAAGGGTGAGACTCTGGAGGGCAGGAGTCAATGTAGACTCGTCTTTGCATCTCCAGTCTCTGGCTCAGTCAGTGTGTGATTGACATGTCCGTTTCTGACTTTTAAGTGGACTTTCTCATTTCTCATTGGACTCAAAGATATAATTTTGACCATGCTTCACAAAAATAAGGGGAAGGTATTTGATTTGGAGAGTAGGAGTTTGCAAAACTAGTGACAGTATAGGTTGCTAAGTAGCTGAGGGGAAACATCAAGTCTAAGAAGCCATCATAAAATCTGTTCTATTGCAAACTGAACAGTAATGTAAACTTATAATTGAAAAAGGTAGAGAATGAGATTGGTTATAAGAAAATGTGGGTCCCATTTTTTATGAAATAGTATATGAAAAGTTTTACAAACTATGTCAGACACCTAAGGACACTACACACATTACCTGCTACTGGTATAACCAATACCTTCTAAATGAATATTTGTCTTTGAAAATTTCTTAGCTAACTTCACATGTTTATTTCTCCTCACCATGATTCTCTAGGATTAATGACATAAGTGTTTGTAAAGTGTTTTGAAATCCCTAAAGTGTCATCATCAGCCCAAGTACCATTTTAATTATGCAAACTGTGTCTACCCAGCGAGTCCACTTAAATATCTAATATTGGGAAGTGCTGTCTCATAAGGTTTAATAAATGATTCCCTCTGGCTCTAAAAGCAAGTACTTTTTCAATGACAATGGGAGGGAAAGTAAAGGAATTGCCTTGTGGCATCTGTTGTGTAACGCTTTTCGAATGGCGCATCTCGACAAATGCATGAGGGTCCTTGGAGTATTACAGCACACCATGAAGAGAGAGTGGTAAAAATCCCAGTATTTCTGAAAAGGAAGGCAGGAGAAGTAAAGTTAGGAAGGTCTCACCATTTACGTTAATAAAAAAAACCAACCGGGAAGTATTTGGCTTCTGCTTGATAGAGCAGGTTAGCATCATAGAGTCTCCAATGGGGAGACATGATTACACATGAAGCTAAGCAGGGGACGTGAGGAGGGACATATAAATGGAATGGAGAGAGGAAGAAAAATAACAGGACAGTGTCCAACCCAGAAACTGAAATATACAGTGTACTTATGTGAACTGCCTAGACAAAGTAGAAATCAAAATAGCAATTTAAAATTTGTCTAATATTATTGTACATTATTGTGTATAATTTATGCAGCTCTTGAGACCATATATTGAAATACAATGAGAATGGAGGATTAATGAAATTTAGTTAGCTTAAGTAACTTCTAAATATAAGCTAATAATTAGGGATTACACACCTAAGCTATCTACCTCTAAGTTTAGGGAACTTGGTGTTTTTGCTTGGTTCTTTCCATGTGTTAGACACAGCTTTGGGCTTCTAAATCCAAGACCCAGCTGTTTGGTAGAAAGGATTGGTTTAGCTGGGTGCAGGTGGCTCATGCCTGAAATCCTAACTAATCAGGGCACTGAGATCTGAGGATCTCAATTTGAAGCCAGCCTCATCAGGAAAGTTCATGAGACTCTTATCTCCAACTAACCACCAGAAAACTGAAGGTGGCGCGATGGGCCAAAGTGGTAGAGCACCAGACTTGAACGAGAAACCTCGCAGTGCCCATGCCCTGAGTTCAAACCTCATGACCAACAAAAATAAACATTTTTAAAAAAGCACTGGTTTACAGAGGCAGCAGAGTGCCTAAGTCCACAAGTGAGAACCTGAAATATGACTCACTTTGGGGTTTTTAAAACTCTATTTCCTTCTTAATAAGAATCACTTCAAGATATTTAAAAGCAAGTGAAAATCCATATAAACACTTTAATTTCCTCGTTTAAAAATGCCATCTGAGGAGTCTCAAATGTTATCATTTAATTTATCTAAATTGATGGAAAAGAAAATTGCTATCTTTATATATATTCATCTTGCCATTATGCTTCCTCAAGAGGCTTCATATGTCAAGCATTTGACAGAACTATACGTTCTCAGACTTGCTTTTCATGCCTCTTTTTCTCATTATATTTGTAAAGGCTTTCAAAGCATCTCAAAACCAATATTTTAAATTGAAAAGTTCTGTGCTTGTGTGGCAGTCTAGCATTTCTTGGTAATGAAAACCATAGGAAGTGAATTGAGTATTTACCTCCAAGTCATCATCAGGGATAGCTCTTCTCCACTTTATGTTCCATCTGATGTGTTCATAGGCATTGACTACAACTTCAATCGCTTTGGGACAAGAATGGCAAGCCTGGATCACCTGCAGAGGAAGCATAGAGTTTTCTTTGTTCAGTGAATACACAAAATACAGGCATGCTTCTCTCTGAGACATCAGGAAACTGTAGACTGTGGTCAGATACTGCACAGCTATCATCTCAGCTACTTTGGACATTAAGGCCAAAGGATCCCCTGAATTTGAGACTGGCCCATAGGAAGACCTCCATCTCAAAAAAAAAAAAAAAAAGCCACAGCAATGAAAAATAAAGTTGTAGACATGTTAGGCACACTGGAGAAATAAAGTGATTGTTGAGAAAGCTCACATCTTTGAATATTCTTACATAATCCCTCCTCTCCCATGGTTGATTGGAAGATTGATACAATTAAACAAATTTAATTTCTCTATCGATAAGCCACAAAAATCAGGCACTAACGAGGAAGGTAGGGATATAAAGTGCTTGCCTTCTACAAATGTTGCATACACCTATAACACTGGCATTTGGGAAGATCTTAAGTGTAAGGCCAGCCTGGGTTCACTAGGACGACCCTGTCTAAAAACAAACAAAAAAGTTAAGGTATACAATTTTTCAAAGGAACTACAGAAAATTCATGGGGAGTGGTGTAGATTGGGATTGGTGGTCAGGATAGATTCCTGGGATGGAGAGATGGAGGGGAAAGCTGATGTGAGTTTTCAGTCCTGGACAATAGAAAGGTCTTTGTGTGTAAACATACCCATACCTGGCCACTCTGAAGTGTACAATAAAAACTAGCTTTAGTGAAACAACTTGTTTCTTCCTCTTTGACCATGAAAACCTATTCCTTGGAAACATTCTTCTCTATCCCTGACATGATACCTCAACAGGACTCATATTTGTTTCTAGTCCATTTTTCATAATAACAAGTCCTCTAGTCATTCTAGATACAAGAATAACATCCTATCAATAACAAAAAGTATGTCCATGTTAATTGAATAACTAGACTCTAAATTTTGTTCCAAGTAAAAGAGTCCTCTCTCACGTAATCCAGGCCTTGCTGAAGCTGGGAGCCTCAGTTGTGGAAGGAGGATTTATGGGAGTGGACTACATAGGAAACTCATGTTTGGTCTTTGTCTGCTGTTCCTTATTCAGAGCCCATTCAATCTTTGGAATTCCCAGAGCAAAAGGAGAAAGCCTGGTTGTTCTTAATGAGCCCCCATCAAGCCTTAGTTAAGAAAGTTGTAATTTTCCACCATCATTCCTCACCTCCAAAGAGGAACTGGAAGTGAGTGCAATCACCAATGGCTAATGATTTTGATCCGTCATGTCTATGACCTGAAACTTCCATAAAGATCAGGGAGTTTCTAAGATGGTAAAAACATTAAAGTGTTGGCACAGTCTACATCAGGAGGCACAATAGAATTTTTTTTTTTACCACCCTCCATTCTTTGCTCTGTGGCTCATTGACATTTGATTGCTATTGAGTTGTATCCTTTAAAGTAAGCTAACAAACTAGTGCTCCTCCCTAAAGCACTTTCCTTAATTCTGGGAATCATTCGAACAAATTATATAATCCAAATGATCAATCTCAGAGATCAGGAACCTCAAATTTGTTTGTCAGCCTGATAGAAATGAGGACAAGCAAAACAACCTTCTTGGAAGCTGGTATCTAAAGTAGGGGTGGTGTAATGGAACCAAGGCAGGATATAACCTGTGGAATATGACAGTAAATGCAGGTAGTTAGTGTTGGAATTAAATGGAATGGTTGAATAGGATAACTGGGTTGATGACATAAGAAGAAACATCTCTGCAGGATTCTGTATTTCCTCACTTTGTCTCCTCCTTTTCCTCTCCTACACTCTCCCTGGAAGAAGAAAAACAAAGGAAAGATCTTGGTTGGTACCAATATGGCCCCACAAGAGTGCTTTCTACAGTAGTCTCTTCCTTTCATAGAGAGATTTTTTTTTTGTTTTACAGAGCAGTCTACAATTGGGAATACCAATCTCTTTGACAAGGACACTTGCTCTCTTTCTATTGGTCCTTATATTCCTCAGAAGTTTTTGTGTCCCCCAGAACTCTTCTCTATACACAAATGTCCCAGCCTCTGTAATCCTTTGGATGTGGCCAGATTTCATTTAAAATTGAGCCCAATTAGCTGTCCAAATTGGCCCACAATGGTCCAGGGGAATATCCCATCCTCAGTGAAAGAAAGCTCTCCTCAACCTGTAATTTAATTACGGTTCTCTCCTTTACCACCAGACAAGCAGCTCCAGCCACAGAATTGCTCCTTTAAATTTTCTCATCCTCCGTTATTTGTTAGTGCCATTTATTTCCCTTAGTGTTAGAAGACATGCACCAAGCTTTCTGAAAAATCCTACTGACATGCCTTTCACTGGGTGATATGAATAGGATCCCCCACACTTCCACCATTGGCAGGAGGCCAGGTGTCTGCAAAGAAATGTTCTTGTTAATTCCATGGTCTACTCAGCCTCCCTCACACTTCTTTTACTAGTCCTTGCATTTTGCAAAGTAGGGTTTTGAGTATGTAATGTCTTCAATACTCAGGCAAAAAATTGTGGGAGAAAGATTATTGTTTTAACACTCAGCTAAGAAACTGAGTATATATGCATGCATATGTGTATGTGTGTTTTTATCTGTGTGTGCATGTGCATGTGTGTGTGTGTGTGTGTGTGTGTGTTTGTGTGTGTGTGTATGTTGATAGTGTGGAGATCAGACTGCTGAATGGAGAGTTCAAGTCAGGAAGGAGCTAAAATTAAGAGCAGTTAAGATGGAGCTGGCTGAGATGCAAGCAGGAAGATCTTAGCATTGACTTGACAGGCAATAAAAGGATGGTATATACTTTTAAAAAGAAAGTGTTATAGCCAATCAATTCATTCCATTAGGAAGCCTTTATTGAGCATTGTGTTTGGTACTATAACAGTAATTCTGAGAAGTTTATGACCTGTTTTTGTCTTTAAGGAGTTTGTAAACTAGCTGAACCAAGAAGACAGATATTTCAGAGTTAGGGAGCAATGTAAGTCAGTAAATACTCAAAGACTAACTTAAAGATCATCAAGCATCGCTTGAGCACCAGGAGTAAATGCACAAAGAAGAAAACAAGTATGTCAAGGACAGAGAGTAGTGAAAGGCTGAAGGCAATGGACTCCCAGAAGCTACTTAGCTATGGTCAATGTTAGTCCCAGGGTATGCTGAGTAATGAACATAGGAAACATAAGTGGAGCTTCATAGTGATCAGATACAGAAAATAAGCTATGCAACTTGGAAGGATGACAACTAGGATAAAAATGATTGTAACATATAGAAACAGACTTAGAAAGTCATGCAAATTTGAGACTGGACGGATGATGAACAAGAGGATAGCTCATCTGTAAATTCTCAATGGTACACAGAGATGTAGATATGTGTACCACTGAGGTACATACTGAATAAGCTGTGAGGCTCAGTCATCCTCTTATTGGACATAAATGGCAAAGGTGGAGGACCATCTTCAGAAACCATAAAAAAAGGGAGATAATAAGAAGAGGAAAATAAAAATAATAATATATGTTATATTGATAATATTATATTGATATTACCTTTTGTATAATATATTATATATTATTATAAACATTATATATTATATATCTTGTATTTTATGTTTTATGTGTATGTATTTATATATGAAATATAAATTATACTATCTAATCAGATTATATGAATATATTATTATATTGAAGATTGACTATGTGCTGGGGATTATGTTGACTCTTTATATACTTTAATTAACTTGCTCAATCTTCAAACATCTATAATGAGTTTGGTCCTATCATCAGCCTAGTTTCAAAGATTTAAAGCCAAAGTCTAAGAAAAACTTAAATTCCCAGTCATCTAACTAGTAGGATCCATACACATGACTGCATGACTCCAAAGTAAGACCCAGACATTGTCAGAGTCAAACGAAGAGAGAATTTAGAGCTAAGTGACCACTAGGACTTTGAAGACCAGAAAGACAATGACAGCTTGAATATTACCAGATTTGATTAGACGGCCAGCTTACTGAGAGTTAATAATATGAAGCAGGTAAGGACCAGAACCTTGAAGAAAGTATAGGATAAATGACACCTTGTACCTAACCTAACTTTGTCTTTAAGGCCTTCCATGTCATCATGTGCAAGGTATTTAAGACTCAATAAATAAATTTCTGAATTAAGATTACACTTAAAATGATATGAAGATAACTGGGAAGATTTTAGGAATTGGAAAAACCTCCCATGCTCCTGGATTGAGAGAATTGACATTGTGAAAATGGCAATACTGCCCAAAGCTATCTACAAATTCAGTTTTGATTAGCATCATTTTATATGATCATATGTACATAGCTATTGAGCTATTGTGATCCTCTGCTGGGACTATCTTAGACATATACTAATTATTACAAATTAAGGAAACCATGGAGCCTATGCTTCTTTGGGTCTGACTTGCTTCACTTAATAAGATTTTTTCCAAGTCTTTCCATTTCCTTATGAATGGGTCAATGACATTCTTTCTGAAGCATAGAAATTCCATTGTGTATAACACCACATTTTCTTGACCTATTTATCTATTGAGGGGCATCTGGGTTGGTTCCATATCTTAGCTATAATGCTACAATGAACATAGTTATGCTGATAGCTTTAGTGTGGCCTTGTTTGTGTTCATTTGGGTAAATGCCCAGGAGTAGGCTTGCTGGATCATAGGGTATTCTCTGTTTAGTCTTTTGAGGAACCACATGATCATCTCAAAGATTCACAAAAAGAATTTGACACGATGTAACGCCCTTCTATGATTAAAGCTCTGGAGAAACTAGGAATCCATTGAACATTCCTCAATATAATAAAGGCTCTATATGACAAACCTACAGCCAGTATTATATTTAATGGTAAAAAGTTAAAACAATTTCTTCTAAAATCAGGAATGAGACAAGGATGTCTGCTCTCTCCACTCCTCTTCAGTATTGTATTGGAATTCCTAACTAGAGCAATAAGGCAAGAAACAAACATAAAGGGGATCCAGATAGGGAAAGTAGAAGAAAAATTCTCCCTCTTTGCAGATGACATGATCCTGTATTTAAAGAACACCCTAGACTCCTCTCCCAAGTTACTTGAGCTGATCCAAAAGTTTGGCTAATAATTATTTGAAAAATAGTATCTAATAAAAATCCCCAGATATGTCCTTTCTAGAAGATTGATCTGTAGTAAGAAGTATGGTGATAATTTGTTGAGGAATCAATAAAAGAGATAAATTTAAGCAATCAGTACAGAGACCATAGGTTAAATGAGTCCAATTCTTGTACCAAAACATACTTACTATTTATTCTAGAATTTAAAAAAATAGAGAGCATATCCTGGCATCAACAGGTGATACCAGTAATCTTAGCAATTCAGGAGTCTGAGACTTGTAGAGTTGTGGTTCAAAGCCAGTCTAGGCAGAAAAATCTTATCTCCAATTAATCACAACATAAAGCCAGACTGGAAGTAGTGGTAGTATATCAGTCATGAGCAAGAAAGCTAAGCAAGACATTGAGGCCCTGAGTGCAATCACGACTACTACACAATTTTTTTAAGTATAGAGTAGCAGCTACTAGTATTTATCTCTTTTATGGATTCCTGTTGATTTCTACATTCTGCATTAATTCCCATACTATGCTGCCTCTTTTCATGGGGACCAAAATGGTTATCAATCAAGCTATCCCTATATACACTTAGATATTCCTTATCTCCCAGCCTTGGTAAGCACTAAGTGCACAGAGAAATAGAGGCAGAAGAAAAATGCAGCCAAATGTCATTCTCTCCTTGAGACCCATTACCTTCTTCACAGTTAGAGGGATTCCAATCATAGTAAATATTCATAATAACATTAATGCGAGGTACCCAGTTGAATTTGAATTCTATACAGTTTGATAACAAATAATTTTAAATCAAGTATGTTCCAAATACTGTTAAAAATATGCATTAACAATCACTTATTATTTATCTGAACTCCACATTCAGCTCAGCATTCAATATTTCACTGGTAACCCTACTTCTAACTCTTATTCAGAAAGCCACACCAAGTTGCACGTACAGAAATGTGATGGATCTATAGTTTAGCAACCCAACATCATATACTTCTTACTTCTATCTCACCTGTATATCACAGGAAGATGACTTCTCACTTTTCATTAGGGTAAAAAAAATAGGTAGTTTCAAATCCTAATCTTTTGCTGTCTTTAGAATCACAAACTCTATACATTCCAATTGTTTTTGTCATTAGCTTTTGCTGACACTCTGACTACTTCATTTTCTGTTGACAGAAGACTTGATTATCAAAGTGTGAATGTTCCTTCAAGGATGGCAGATCCTTCTACAAGAGCACTTTAGGCTTCTTCTAGAACTAAGACAGCAGGACACACGTTCTCAGACTTGAGAAATTATTTCACTAAGAAATAACTAAAGAACCTTAAGAGGCAGCAAATTGTAAGCCATCACTCTACATTGACTTCCAGGAACCTAAACCATTAAATAGCAAAAGTCCATTGAGGATCACAAAGCAGGAAACCACTGTCTCCTCCGTGCGCTGGCCAGGCTGGGAAACAGAAAACATACAGGGATCTTCATGTTCTGTGAGTCTCTGTGACTCTCTTCCCCCATCATAGAATAATGGGACCAAAAAAATCCTTTTTACTGCACCAACAGGTAGAAAGAATTTTAGTCCCCTCCTTCACCATCCAGCATGGAGGAAGACACCACATATTGAAAAGCAGATTCAAGGTAAGTCTCCCTGCCACTCTGCCAATCCAATGCCACTTTGAAATCACTTCAGTGAAGAAATCCTGAAGCTACCTCTGCCTTCATATATTGATATAATTGTACATTGTAAGATACTTAAAAATGGAACTTCTTGTTCCCTGGGCTTCACACACAGCCTTGTTCAGCAGCAAAAATATCCTTACCTTCCCCAAATCCTCACATTCCTACTTTCCCTCCCCAAGAAAAATGTCTTTCTTGCCCTCGAAGAAAGCCCAATCTTGGTTCCCTGGGGTGTCACTTCCTTCTGAATTATGCTTGGAGAAAAAAAAATCAAATGTCCTTTTGTACCCTGGAAAGCAATTGCAGACCCTATAATTCTCTTTTTCCCCTTGCTTATATAATTTATACATTGGCTTTCAGTGAAATACACCCTGCACATATTTGCCTTATATTTGGAAGACTGCATCTTCAGCTCTGACCTTGCTCTTGTAAATAAGGAAACTGAATTCCCCATCCACGAAAGAACAAATCACTTTATCTTCTGGATAAATGAGTCAGTCCTTTTGCTTGTCGTAAAAATGACTTTCTCTTTGAAAGTCTGGCTGTGGAATTGTTCTAAATCACTTTCAAGCATCTGCATAGTAAATTGAGTAGTTTTTCTTTACTTTTTCTTTGGAGGGTGGCCAGCTGTCTGGCATATTCTTCTTGATAGCAACAAAAAAATGTTTATAATACCAGCCAGCCATTAGTAGCCAGCCCTACCTTAAATCTCTTTCATATATAGTCAATCTAGAGGCTGGAGGAGCAAACAGAAGTGAATAGGAAAGTGTTAACATAGATAAAAAGTTCCTTGAGATAGATACTTGTCAGCATATTTACAGACTAGTAAAGCCACTAAGTAGAGCTAGTGAGAGACTCCTACACTTCAGCAAGAGCATATCTTGTGAGGAAGAGGAGGAAAAGAAATGGTATGGTTGGGTACCACAGCTGGTCTCCTGGCAGAAATACTTCCTGCTCAGATGTTCCTGAAAAGTTCACATTACCACCTTTACTGATCATATGAGAGATTTGGGTTCTGGGACATAAAGGAACACCATCAAAAATTATATAGTAGGTAAATGGCCAAGCCAGGGCTCATGACCACAGCCACCACCCTTCTCTCTCTCTACCTTCCTCACTGGTATCTGTCAGAGCATTTCCTTTGTCAAAAAGTCCTGAGGACCTCCCCACACTGGAGGAAAGAACAGAAATACTGTTTAAAACCCCATTCTCACTGTCAAAGAGAATGAGAAGAATTTCATTAAGCTATGTTGATCAAAAACTCATTTCACGTCAGCAACAGTGAGCTTCAAGACACAAATCAATACTGGGTCTCTAGCTCATGTATATCATGTCTCTACATTCTTAGAGGGGGTCAAGAAAGCTCGGATTCCACTAGTTCTACTACTCAACGGACATGTGATGCTTGTCATAATCATACCCATATTTTTTATAATAGCTACCAGGCACTCAACACCAGACTAAACATTTCTCAAGTGTTATTTAATTCTCAAAACAATCTAATGAGAAGGCCGCCATGAGTCAGGATAAGTTATACAGAATGCTTCTCTGACACCATCGTGCCCTGTTTCCCTTCCATCTTTCACTTTGGAAGGATGGTAGCCTAACAGCAGCATCAATATAGACCAAATATGATTTATGGAGTGAGCTGTATTTATCATCTAGAAGTTCCTCTATGAAATGTGGACAAAATAAAAGAGGTGGAAGTAGAGAGAGAGAGAGAGAGGGAGAGAGAGAGAGAGGTTGATAGATGAAAGCAAAGGGTTGAGGCAAGAAAAGGAACACTGCAAGAATGAAAAGTGCTGTAAGGTCTAAGGAAAAGAGGGAAGAATATGGGGTGTCATCCTCTGGACTCTGAATGTATTTATGTGTGTTCCCAATAGATTTAATTTCTCTTGGGTGAAGGATTGTGTTTGCACTCTATTGCCAAAGCATAAACTCATGGTGTATCTATTTGTCAGGAGAGGAAAATGGGGCTTAGGAAGTTTAAGTCATTTGCTCAGTCCCCCATTTTTGTAAGTAGTACGATCTAAGTTTGACTCCAAAATCCATTCCTTGGATAAATAATGTGACTAAGTCTAGAACAGATGATTGCAGATGACCAACAAAGCAAAGATGAAAATGACAAACAGGAACAACTTTATGTATAACTTAAACTACTGTGTTGTAGATTCACCATAGAGTGTGTTCACATTGGTTGTCTCAGTCAGGTCAGATTGCCAATGTATGATTCAGAAAATCAATACGACTTCAAGCTGTAGACATTCAGAAAGCTAAAACTTATTGACTACTGTGTACTGGGAATCTTAGCTACAGAGGTTTACATAGCTTCTACTAGTTTAACCTCACTTCCAAGACTGCAGCTTTCATACGAAAACATTCTCTGCATCCAAAAGCATTGTTGCTGGGGTCAGCAACAATTCCCTGACTTTCACCTCCCATGTAGCTAGAACTACAGGCATGAGCCACTGGCAACTGGCAAGTTGAATTATCTTTAGACTAAACCATTTGTTACAAAGAGTAAGAGCAAGTGTGGCTGTCTGGGTCCTCACTCATCTGTCTGGAAGAAAACTTCAGTCCAGAAAGCCACTGTCAATTCACACCATGAGAAAAAAAGAATGTTATTTGCTACCCTTGGGCTCATTCCTAGGTCTGAGGCCCAGATTTCAAACAGACCTGGCCTGGGACGAAGTAGCTCAGGTTAGGTACTTAGTCACGGGACTTCAGCTTCAAACGAACTGTACATTCGGGGGCCAAGCTGCCACTTGAGCCCGCGGCCCCAGGCCCCAAGCCTGACTCACCTTGTGGAACTGTGGCGGGTAGATCCTGGCCGCCCCGTGGTTCAACAGCAACTGGTAGCAGACCTCAGGCCGGGCCGCAGGTCGCACGGAGGTGACCTTCAGCACGTACTGGATGGCGGCGCAGCCGTTGATGTCCATGAGGTTGGCCTCGGCGCCCGCCTCCAGCATCATGTGCATGAGCACGTGGTCGCAGTTCCAGGCCGCCTTGTGCAGCGGAGACTTGAAGTCGTCGTCGCGGGCGTTGACCTCGGCGTGGTGGTCCAGCAGCGTGCGGCAGATGAGGTGATGCTCCCTGCTGTACTCCTGCTCCTTGAAGCGGAGGGACCAGTAGGCGGCCACGGCCAGCGGGGTCTCCATGTGGGCGTTCACGCTGTCCACCACCGCGCCGTGCTCCACGTAGAAGGCCACCAGCTCCGAAAGGCCGAAGTGGGCGGCCGTGTGCAAGGGCGTCTCCTCGTCCTGGTTGTTGGTCTTCATGTTCACGTTGGCGCCTGCGGGGAATCGAGGCAGGCAGGGGTTGGAAACCACGCTTTGTCGCACTGACTCCCCCTCTGATCCCCCCAGCAAGCCACGCCCGGAAACCACCGCGCTGTGGGGGAGGAGGCAGCACTGCTGCCGGAAGTTCTTCGGGACAGCCCTGTGCTGAGCTGCGAGGCTCACCTTCCGGGCAGATCTGCAAAGACCAGCTGCTGTCTGTGCAGAAGCAGCTTTTATCAATAACAATGTGAAACACCACCGCAATGAAGGTTCTGTTGGAAATTCTGAAGCTCATGCAAGTGGTTTGGGGGAAGGAAATCAATTGCTTTGACTGTTTTACAAAATGATGTTTCTCTTCTCTTTTAAAGCAAGTGAACCTCAAAGTCTGAGCAGGCAAACTGGAAGGACATGACAATTTCCCAGCTCTCAGGTTGACATCTTAAGAGCTAATTCTTTGGAATACAATGAACATGTACACACACACACACACACACACACACACACACACACACACACACTGCCAAGTGAGTCTAAAGGTCATATTTTGCATTGAAAAGGGTAGAAGCTAGTAGAATAGAAATAGTTATTACAAAAAAGAAAATAATTCAGAGATTGTAGTATATTCGATTTGGGGTTGACAACAAATGTTAGAAATGCATACTTTTTTGTGCTTGAGAAGCTCCTTAGAAATTATTCTTTTAATCCAATGCACTATGTAGCTGACCAAGAAAATAAGGTGCATTTTGTTTTTCTGATAAGGAATGTTTTAATGACTGGAATGATCAAATTGAGAAGGTGCAGTTTTCCTTCTCTGCCTGATTTAATGGGGTGAAGTAAATGTCTGCTATGGGGCCAGATCTATAATGAATCCTGCAAGACATTTTCTAGTGGCTTGAAATTTACATCTGAAGAGATCTTTTATTGTTATTATTGTCATTGTTGTTATTACTCCAATAAAAATATTCACTTGTCATTTAACCATGGGCAACATTGTAAGCTAAATGCTTTTCATCCACTACCTTGTAAAATCTTTCCAGCAACTCTGCAATATGCATAGTTTTAATCCTACTTTTATGGATGAAATTTGTACTTAGGTGAACAATTGGCCAACAATACACTAAGCTAGTAAGCAGAAGAACCAAGATTTGAAATCAGACAGGTTGGCTTCAAATTACTGTGCTATTCTACCTCATTATTACTTTTCTGCAGGAAAGGAATTTGTGTATATTACTCTTACTTAGTATATGAAAACCAGAAAGAAATTTAAAAATTTAATGTTGCATTTTGTAATTTTAAAATATCTGTTCCCTGTGAAATGCTCCTCTATTCCCTTATTTATGCCCCACTCCCACCCCCAAGCATTTGAACATATTTAAGAAATGCAGTTCTCCCGTAAGCAAGCTCAGTCAGTATCCTATGCAGGATTAACCCTCCAGTGTGGTTTGCAAGAACACGTAGTTCAGAATTTTGAGATTGTGGACTCTCTAACTTGCAGAAAGCAATACTGTAACCACAGGCCGTCACTCACAGCGGCTCTTTTCATCAGTATTCTGCCCTGGAAGAGTTCTGGGTAAGGTCTTCATTCAGGTCAAGGCTTTGCTCCGGAGTGAAATGGAATAAATAAGGACGTCTTCCCAGAAGCCATGTGTGGGGTCATTTTGGACGCTGGAGAATTTCCAGTAAGGAAGAGAATCAAGGGGTCAGAATAAAATTTTTACAGGCCAACCTGGAACAAATCACATCCTTTATTTTTTAATGGACTTGGACATTTACAATTGATCTTTGACCTCTTGGTACAACTAGATATGTAGCCTGGTTGGCTTTTCTAAATGGGAGATCTTTATTTTTATACTTTGAGTTGTGTCTTTTGAGAATAACTTTGCCTAGGAATAAATAATGTAGGAAGAATTGACTTTTTTTTAGTTTTGGGGTTTTATAATTTATTTAAGAAATTAGAGCTCAGAAACATAAACTCCTGGGAACTTTTACAAATACTTTCAATTTGAAAATATAATGTATTCATTTCCAAAAGCTACTACAATAAAATATCCCATACTAGATTGCTTAGAATAACAGAAATTTATTCTCACATAGCTCTAGAGACCAGAAACTCTGGAATTAAAATGAGGACAAGGTCAGTTCCTTCTCAGAGCTTTGAAGAAGCATCTGTCTCCACCTCTGTCTAAGATTTTAGTGGTGACCACTAATTCTTGCTATTTCTTTGCTTGTACACTTGTCACTTCATGCTCTGCCATGGTCATTCCATGGTAGCCTCCCTGGGTCTGTCTGCACATGTGGTCATCTTCTTCAGAACTCTAGTCAGAATACTGCAGTAAGGACTCACCTATCCTTGTACAACCTCAGCTTTATGTAAGTAATTATTTTTACAACAATCCGATTTCCAAACAAATTTACATAATGATGAATTGGAGATTAGGACTTCAACATAAACATAGGTCTTTTTCATTGAGGAGGCATACAACATATATGAGAATAGTTTAGAAACATATGTAGATATGGTTTTAAAATTATTGTAAAGTTACCACCCATGTAATCATATATGAGGTTAAGAAATAAAATACTTCTAGACACAGAACAACACTCCACTCTCCTGCCATCTCCACCATCACAACTCCAGACTGACAGAGAAAACTGTTATCAGGTAATTAGGCCTAATCAGAAAATCGGATCTATGCATTTCTATTTTGTTTGACCACTTTTGTACATATGTGTAAACGAGTTCAGTTTTGTTAATTTTGAACTTTGTATAATTAGAATCATCAGCACATACTCTTTAATGGTTTGTTCCATCATTCAATATTATATTGGTGTAAACAACCTTTATTATAATGTGAAGTGTTTGTGCCTTTTATTATGTTCCATCCCTATTCGATGGACCTTTCCAATCTCAGGCTACTCCAGACACTGTTGTTGGAATCAGTCTATTATGTTCTTGTACCTCGGTGTGCATGTGCAAGAGTTTCTCATGTAGCTTATGGTTATGGGTTATGTAACTCATGAGTTACAAGACTGCAGCATCTTTGTGTATGAACAGCTTCAATTTCATTAAATAGAGTTAAGATAGATTGTTGGAGCAGATTATAAGCTGATTCTCTAAATGTGAAAGTCTTACTTTGCTCAGAGGCCTGATAGCCTTAAAGATGAACTATAACCTAGTTTTTTTTTTTTTAAAAAAAAAAAGATTTTTAAGTGCTTATAATCTGGACCTTAATTTTAGCTACACATTAATTTAGGAAGACTTGGTGGTATTACATGATGGAATCTTCCATATGGAAATATGTTCTGTTTTTTTTTTTTAAAGATGTTTCCTTACATACATATCCCAAAACATGTTTGCAGAAATTTTTATCCTAGGTAAGCCAAATGTATATTGAACTCATGACGGATATACTGCATTCGCTAGGAAGTCTGCCATTGCATCTAACAAGACAGATAAAAATTTAAATGTGTTCCTTATGATAAAGTACAAGGAATTTGCACATTATACCTGTGGGCTCAGATGACTGAGCTATGGTGATTTAGTCAAGAAATTAGAGCTCAGAAACATAAATTGCTAGGACCTTATATAAGTATTTTCTAATGTGAAAATATGATCTATTAGTTTCTGAAAGCTACTATAATTACATATCTAATACTAGGTTATTTGGTAACACAGAAATTTATTCTCCCACAATCTCTGGAGACTGGAAATCTGAAATTCAGTTATCAACAGGGTCAGTTTTTTTCTAAGGGCTTTGAGAGAGAATCTGTGTTCACCTCTCTTAGTTTCTGGTCAGGGCCACTAATCTTTGGTGTTTGTTGGCTTGTAGACATGTCATTCTAGTCTCTACTATCCTTATGTGGCATTCTTCCCATGTCTGTGTGTCTTCACATTGTCAGCCTCTTCTAAAAATACCAATCATAACACAATAGGGATCCATTGCTCTAGTACAACCTCCTGTTTGTTCAAGTGATGTTCTATTTCCAAATAAATTTACAGGCTGATGTATTGGAGATTAGTATTCAACATATTATTATTATTAATAATGTTGGTATTATTAGTATTAGTATTATTGCTGGTCCTGGGGCTTGACCTCAGGGCCTGGGCTCTGTACCTGAGCCTCCCTGTGCTCAAGGGTACTGCTCAGCACCACTTCCAGCTTTTTCTGAGTAGTTTATCAGAGATAAGAGTGTCACCGACTTTTCTTTCTTTTTTCTTTTCTTTATTTTATTTTATGGTCGGTTGTGGGGCTTGAACTCTGGGCCTGGGCACTGTCCCTGAGCTCTTCAGCTCAAGGCAAGTGCTCTACCACTTGAGCCACAGAGCCACTTCCAGTTTTTTGGTGGTTAATTGGAGATTAGAGTCTCACGGACTTTCCTGTCTGGGCTGGCTTTGAATCATGATCCTCAGAACTCAGCCTGCTGAGTAGTTAGGATTACAGGTGTGAGCCACCAGCACCTAGCTCAATATATTGTTCTATAGATATAGACCAAACAGTTAAGATAAAAGAACTGCACTCAAACACATGGGATCTGGCTATGAAGAAAGAGCCCAGGCTCCAAGGAAGATAGCTGTGAGAAATATCCTGAAATTAGGATTGCAGACTTTAACACAATAACATTAATAGTACATGTTCCATTTCTGCCATAGTGTCTTGTCATTATCTCCAAGACAAGTGATCATCAACCTTAGATAGACATCGGAGGCTGGTTGAGACCTCTTGGCAACTTGCACTGTGGCTCCTCCTGCTGGGCCTTGATACTTTCTACAGGGCCCAGCAGTCACCCCAAAGCCTAAGCTTTGTCCAAACCTGTCAAATCCAGACCTCTGTCACTGCCTGTGTCTTCCCAAACTCAAGGACTACAGTCCCACTTTATATTCTAAACCAGATCCTCTCTCCTCTCCCTGAAGAATTTATAGAAAGGGAGATGGTGCTGAAATGGACAACGAGCCCAAGTCAGTGTTTTCTCAACACTCTAAGAATTGGATGTTCCCTTTCATCTTCTGCAGAGA